TTTTTTTAAAGTAAAATTGTATAAACATTTGTGTAAAAAAAACTAACACTTTATCTTTATTTTTATAAATGATATTCATTTGTTAATTAATTTTTATAAATATTTATTTATAAAACGTCAATTTATCCAAAATATTTCATATTGGACTCGTTGGATGCGGATTTTGTAGTGCTTTACAGTAGTAACTTCAGAATTGCGTTAACTTTATTTGGTTGTAAAATATTTCAATTTTTATTAATTTTTATTAATTAATTAATTAATAATTCGAAAACAAAAAAAAACGTCATTTTTTTCGTTTTAGTTATTGAAAGTACACATCTTAAGCTTTCTTTTGGTACAAAAAAAAAAGAAAAAAAAGGGTCCTTCTTGAAAAAAAAAATCAAAAAAATTTTTAATTTTCAAAAAAAGGGTTTAATTTTGAAAATTTAAAAAAAAATTTTCACCATTTGAAAGAGCGTGAAAAAACCTACCAAAAATATATAGGTCAAAATTTTTTTTGCTTTATTATATAGAAGCTACGATTTTTTAGAAAACTCACTGTTCATACTTATCCAAAATCTTCAACCCCCTCCTCCCTCTACAATTTGTTATAAAATTTCATAATACTTGGTGGTTGAAGTACTCATACATAGTACTAAATACTGTGAAAATATTAGCCCGATACAACAACTTGCAATTTTGACATTGGTACACTTGAGAAATTTTGCCCCAACTATATATACATATAATAACAATAATGTTTTGACATTTAAGTAAACCAAACCTATATTATCAAATTGCAGAAAACCTGATTCGCACGTAATAAGATTATTATATAACAAATTTAGTCAACAAATGGATGGTATTGTGTAAAAAGTAAATTATCCCTAATTCAGTTAGTATAAATAATTAATAGAAGTCAGTCTTGATAAAAAAATTGACAATTAAAAGTGCAAATTTTTATTTAAAATAATTTACCAAAAAGAAATACCAAAATAACTTATTTTGTTATTTTTACAATCATGTTTTTAAAAAAATGAGAGCCAAACAAGACATTTTAAACTTTAATAAAAAAGATTTATTAAAGTTTATATTTATAAATTATTATCATTTATTTACTGTAGCTCAATTTATTTTAATTTTTAATTAAATTAGAAAACAATTAGGATAACTGTATCAATTGTCGAGGGTTTTAGGCAACATGTGACTTTTACATTTTTTTTTTGGAAGTAAATGCACTACAAAATTTGATTGTCAATTGAGCAAAAGCACCATTTGTCGATGACTTAAATACATTTAAGTCACATTAAATTTGTAAACGTATGAAATAAACTTTTATTACGAATTAAACATATAATGTTAATTAATTTAACGAAATAGTATACCAAATTTTTTACACAGTTTTAAATAATGCATTTTTCTTTTAATTCTTTTTTTAGATCGACCTCGTTTTTTTGGTTGATTACACAGGCACACAAAAAAAAGTCAAAACCCAGAGGTCACACCCCCCTATCCCCATGTTTTTGGGGTCGCTGAAACCGAATATGACCATAACAAATTTTTTTCATCGGACATATTTTCCCGCTACCACCCCCTTACACCTACTCCCGGGGGTTGGAATTTCATTAAAAAATAAGTGGAGTAGGGTGTCTATTCCTATGCTTTTTGGGTCGCTAAAACCAAAAAAGACTACCAAAAACAAATTCTTTCCTCTCTTAACTCCCTACAACCCCCTTAACAACCCCAGGGTTAAGGGTCGAAATTCGAATTTTCACGAAAAGTCGATTGCGGTGTCTAAACCTACGTTTTTTGGGTCGCTGAAACAAAAAAAGACTACCAAAATCAAATCCTTTCCACCCTCAACCCTCTACAACCCCCTGCAATAATTTTTGATAATTAATATTTAATTTTCAATTTCCCAAAAATCGGTCCGTTTTATTTGAAAAAAATTATTGCAGGGGGTAGTAAGGGGTTGAGGGTGGTAAGGATTTGATTTTGGTAGTCTTTTTTGGTTTCAGCGTCCCAGAAAACGTAGGTTTAGACACCGTAATCGACTTTTCGTGAAAATTCGAATTTCGACCCCTCACCCTGGGGTTGTTAAGGGGATTGTAGGGGGCTAAGGAAGGGAATAATTTGTTTTTGGTAGTCTTTTTTGGTTTTAGCGACCCAAAAAACATAGGAATAGACACCCTACTCCACTTTTTTTAAACTGAAATTCCAACCCCCGGGAGCAGGTGTAAGGGGGTGGTAACGGGAAAATGTCCGATGAAAAAAATTTTTCATGGTCATATTCGGTTTCAGCGACCCCAAAAACATGGGGATAGGAGGTTGTGACCTCTGGGTTTTGACTTTTTTTTGTGTGCCTGTGTTATCTGTAGGTTTTAAATTTTTGGAGAGTTTAGTTTTTTCTTTTCTGTACTTTTTTCGTTTTGCTTCAAAATTTCCAATTGTTCTTTTTGTTATAAATAAAAGTTTGTCATCTATGTTTGACGTTTAATAAACAAACATTTAACCATCGACAAATGGTGCATCTGCGAAAACACTGACTACACAAATTTTCGAATCATTACCTCGAAAAATGGAACTGACAAAAAACAGAACCAAATACCGATGATTTTCTTTTAAAAAATATTAAATTTTTTTCAACAAAAAAATAAACAGACAAACTTAATTTAGTTCTTATACAATATTATAATAATAATTTCGTATACAAAAAGTAATTGGTAATAGCTTTAATTTGTATTTCTAAAATTCTTTTTCAATCAACCTGAAATATTAAGAAAATAGCGATTCGAGTAAATTTGACAGCAGTCAATTATAATTTTAATTACATAATGATTTTAGTAGCATTGTTATGAAATTTGAATATGTAAATATACAGTTGAAAATATAAAGATTTTTTAGAAATTTTTTTGTTCTTAATATTCTATATTAGGGGAGAGTCTCCAGTTGTGAGACGGGTTTCATTTTTGACCCGTAAATTGTAAACGGGCAAACGAAATTGTAAATAAAATATACCGTTCGAAAGGTAACAGAAATACACAACTTTTATTTAAAGAAAGTATAGTGTTTCGATGAACTCAAAAAATTTTACGATACATTTTCCGAGCACATCGCTTTTTTCAAAAAAAAAAATGTCTCCAGTTGTGAGACACTCATTAAAAATTGCTAAAATTTAATAAGTTTGACATAAAACGTTATGTTTAGTAGAAATAATTAAATATATTAATAATATATATTATTATATACTAAATAATAATATTTATTCGCCAAAATATGACTATCAAATAAACACAATTTAATAGCTTCAACAAGAGCATTAAAATTGATTTCTTCTGAATCAATTGACTTTTTTCCACTTGACATGCCCAAAAATACTAGAAAAAAGAATCAAAACAACATTTAAATAGTATGCCTGCAAAGTAGTATTTTTTATGCTGCCCAGATGGGTGTTGACACCGTCTCACAACTGGTGATATGCTGTGTCTCACACCCAGAAATTGGCGCTATTTTGAAAAAGGAAAATTAAATTATTTTCAACCGTAGATTGGAACAATGCAATGTTGCATCACAAAATATAAGGAAAACACTAAAAGAAAATGCATTACATTTACCTTTTTCAATTAATTAAATTGCAAAAAAAGTACTTTGCATTTATTGAAAAAACGCTTTTTAGTCGATTATCACACACAGTGTTGGTATTTAACAAAAACAGTTTATATATCCGCCTCGGTGTACACGAAATAGTTGGCTCATATAAAAAGAAATGTTTTTATATAAACCAATCGGCTTTTTAATATTGCATGTTAAAAAAAATTGACTGTCTCACAACTGGAGGTGTCTCACAACTGGAGACTAAATCTAAATAATCTAAATAATGTAAGAATATTTCCCACTTAATTTAAGTAGGAATATTCTTAAATTAGATTATCGTTTTTTCTGTGCATATACCTATTCTATTTTTTTAATTTATATATTATCTCTAATATTTTTATTTTCATTTCTACCCGTGTAGAAAAAGCCACGTTCGAGCCACGCCGTTCAGTGGTCCCCGGCAGGGGCCCACGTGGAAAATCCATGAGGAGGAATCCACGAGGGCACTGAAATAAACATTGAAAGACATTTTTTTGAGGACTGATCGATGAGGGCAAATCCATGAGGGCCACGCAGGGGCCCTTATGGTTCGCCCACATAATTGATTGAATTGATTGAATCACCAAAAACAATTCAACAAGTCACTGACAATAAAACATTTGAGTTCAACATAGTGGATAGGTAGTTCGTCTGGTAGTCCGTAGGTCGTAGGTTCAATTCTCGCGTGCGTTAGGTTTTATTTATTTCTTAGGTTTACGTTTATTCCTATTTTTCTCTATTGTATAGGTATAAGTATGCATTTTAATGATTATATACACTGTCAAATAATTTAATTAACAAATATTTAATTTTTTTATAATTTTAATTTTTATATATAAAGGGACATATACAATTAATCCATATACAACTTACATTATTTATGATATCGCTATTGGGCACGATTTAATTAAAAAAGGTAAAAATCCTTAAATCATAATGTTATTAATTAATAATTGAGCTTATTTGTTATTAATAAACAATTAATTTATTAATTTAATTGAAAAATAAAGTCGAGGGCATTTCATGAAATCTACGAGGGCAACACATGGAAAATCCGTATGGAATCCATCAGGATTTTCCATGAGGGCACTCATGAGGGAAAGCATGTCACGCCTTCGAGGGCTCCGCGTGGATTGCCCTTACGGATTCCATATCGGAAGAGGGCAATCCACGAGGGCCTCGCTAGGGGCCCTCACCATTTTCTACACGGGTAACTATTTTTAAATCCACTTTTCCTAAGAATTTTATTTTAATTTCTAATTTTTTAACTGTATTTTTATCTGCAGTTTTACTTCTAATTTTATGGCATTTTTATTGATAATTTAATAAGTTTATTTTTGGTTTTATAATTCAGTAATTTTGTTTCAAAACATTTTTTTACTTTTTAGGGAGTTCCATCAAAATTCTCACGACCTGAAAGTGACAGCAGCACAACATTTAGTAATAGTGGATCAACACCAAACGAAAGTCAATTATGTTCGGAAACTGAAGATGAAGAAAATGATGAAAAATTTTCAAAGTAAGAAAAAAATACTGTTTTATGCCAAAAATAAATGTAGGGGAAACTAGGCGCAGTTGTTACAATTTTGATAAAATCAGTTACAGTGATTTGAGTTTAACTCCAATTTGTTTGGTCATACAGTTAAATCAAAGGTATATTATCTAGTTTTAAAAGGCCATAATTGATTTAGCCCTATATCTATTATTTAATTAACTAAAAACATTTGAGAGACAGCGTGTAAATAGTAACAACTGCACAAAGTGAATGTCGATTGTTACAATACCAAGAATCATCCATAACATTTCTAAATTGCAGGCAAATAATTTTTTATAACAATTGTTATTAATTATTCATAATTTTTGGCTCAACGTAATAGTCCCAGTATACCACGGAGTTCGTATACGAGCTCGGTAGCTCGTATGAGAAATATGAGAAATCTCTCATACGAGCCTTTTCCGTAATGAGAAGTGTATAGATGCTTGTATACGAGGTGACTTTTAAAGCATTTTTATTAATGTAACACTATTTTAAAGTAAATGTAGATAATAGAAATGAATTTTCTCATCTAAAACAAAGCTAAATTCATAAGGGAAATGAAGTTTTAAGAAAAAAAGGATAATTTTGTTCAAAAAATTTATTCACACTGAAAAAAGGTTAGAATTTGATAATATTCCTTGTTACTCTTACTTACCGACATTAGATATTTCTCGGATGCAGTAAGCACGATTTTGTATTAGCGGTAGAATAAATAAGTTTTTCTTCATTACTAATTAATAATATATTATTATTTATTTATTATATAAATGTTCTTATATAAAATAATTAAATTTAATACAAAATCGTGCTTACTGCATCCGAGAAATATCTAATGTCGGTAAGTAAGAGAAACAAGGAATTATCAAATTCTAACCTTTTTTCAGTGTGAATAAATTTTTTGAACAAAATTATCCTTTTTTTCTTAAAACTTCATTTCCCTTATGAATTTAGCTTTGTTTTAGATGAAAAAATTTATTTCTATTATCTACATTTACTTTAAAATAGTGTTACATTAATAAAAATGCTTTAAAAGTCACCTCGTATACAAGCATCTATACACTTCTCATTACGGAAAAGACTCGTATGAGAGATTTCTCATATTTCTCATACGAGCTACCGAGCTCGTATACGAACTCCGCGGTCCGTGTATCGAATTTTTTTTACTGGGGTACGTGACAGTTCCATAGAGATGGCAGCACTAATATTGTTTCGAAATGAAAAAAATTTTAAAAAGTTCTTTTTTCATTAATTTTGAAGTCGAATTTAGAAAAAACATGAGAGTTTTCATAAAAAATGAGAGTGATTACATTTTTGACAAATATTTTACATTTCAAACAAATCTGCTGAATTTTGGGAAAAATATCCGTTGTCATCATCACTTGTAACAACTGCACAACAGGTACATTTTTTACAATAAATCACTTTATTAAAAAAGTATACACTCAATGTAGCCAACCAAGGCAGTTCCTTAAAGCTTAATCCTCATAGAAATCATATTAAAAAATTTACTTTATAAAGGTCTATTAATTATTTAAAAAATATCAAGCAGAGAAATAATTATTTTTGGCTTCTAAAAACCAATGTGCCTATTTTTTACTTGTAAAGCTTGCATATAATTTTTAAACATATTGCAGAAAGTTCGTACATAAAAACTAAACATTTTTCTTTTGGGAACCCCATCTCTACAATTATCTCTACTCTGGGCTGTGAATCAGCGACTTTTATAATTTTTTAAAAATAAAAATGATAGTCAATTTACTATTATAGCACTGTATATAACAGCCCAATAATTCAAAAAGGAGTTGAAGTGAGATCACTTCTAATTTTGCGTGACTGTGCGGTATGCGTATTCGACTTATGTCCTCGAGACTAGGGTTCGATCCCCCGTGCGTGCGATATTTTTCATATTAGTTTTTTAAGTATTCTGCGTAGGCGTAGGGATGACCGAGGTGAGTTGAAACGATTTTTACATTATCCAGTATAACTCAGCCAAAAATTGTCCTATTTTTATGAGCTTTGTATTTTTGGATAGGTAATTTTGTGTAGTACGTGAATAAAAAATGAAAAATTTAAAAATTGTAAGGGTTTCAGAAAAAATTGCAAAATCTAAAACTGTTCCCGTTGTTACAACTCACCTAGTACCAAGGTGAGTTGTAACACATGTCGACATTAGTTGTAACAGTTGAAAATTTTGTGATTTTAATGAAAAAATTTATTTTTAATGCTTAGTTTAGTTAGTAAAGTAAATTTAATTAGTTAGTAAAGACATCTTATTAATAGAAACGAATAAAATACTCGTTTTAGTACCTTCATTTACACCGAAAAAAATCTCGATGGTATTATTAACTATGACTCTATAGTTAATCTTAATCTATAGTAAAAGTAATAAGGATTCCTAATCATTATGGTTAGGATCGCTAGGTTGATTCAACAAATTCAAGCCTGGCAAAAGCAACCCTGCAAATCCTAGTCAAATTGACTAGGATTTTAGTAATTTTGCCTATTTCCATAATGCGCACGCATCTGCTTCTGTTCTGACAGTGTTTACCTCTATATCTTTCGCGTCATTTATCGTGATTTCGTAAAACGATTTTTTATCATTACTCGCGTCTATTTTTTGTACATAAAATGGAGTTCTTACATACATCAAATTTGCTGGTTTCTCGGAACCTCTGGAAATATAGATAGTCCATGTTTTAGAAAGTAAACTATCGCGCAGTGTGTTTGAAAATTTACCTTTGCAATAATTTGTGTATTTTAATTTATTTTCATTTGAATGTCATAAATAATTAAAAATAAATAGTTTTTGACAAGTGTATAAAATTGTGTACTCGAAATGTATAAAACATCATCTCATTAAGTATTGTATTTTGACTCGAAAATCTAGTGTCTATTAAAAAATTAAAATACCAAGTCGTGTTTAGTGTAGTGGTTATAGTTCCGGGTTTCAAAGTGCGTATTCGTTAGGTTCAGGTGTTCGCGTCCCCACTGCGTCAAATATTTATTTCATAAGTTTAAATTAATTCTAAGGTATATAAATACAAAGTCAAATATAAATATGTTCAAATACAATAATTAATTTTTTTCTTTTTTCTTTTAATTAGTTTTTCTCCTTTATTTGATAATAAGAATTTGATTAGCAATTTCAAATAATTATGATACACAGTGTAAATCTAATATTATTCTCCTAGTCAATTTGACTATTTTTTCCTGATTACATCGACTAATTTTCCTGGTCACTTTAACTATGCTTGAATCTTCTTACTTTGACCAGGATTCTATAGTTGGCTCCTCTCGTAACTAGGAAACCTAGTCAATTCCTGGTATACGGGTCCTAGGCATTTTTTTCGGTGTACTTTTGGAATTATGTTATCACATATTTCGTTTTCTTTAACACTAATTAGATATTTTAAACCAATCTTTGGTATTTAATTACGATCTATAATAACAATTTGAGCTTTATAATAGCTAAAAATAATATTATATAATATATTTTATAGAAATTTAAGAATAATAAAATTTTGTTTGCGAATTTTTAAATAATTAAGGTGTAATTAGAGTTTTTGTTAATATTTTTTTTCCTTTGGAGAATATAAAAATGATTTACACGAAAATTTGTAAAATTCTAAATACTTTTAAAGCCCAAATATAAAACAATGTACTTCAGCAAAAATCCAAACAGTCTCTATTCGATCAAGCACAAATTTGTGTAAACCTAGGTGAGTTGAAACAGCCTGTTACAACTCGCCTAGGTGCGAAACATATTGTGCATCGGTTCGAATAATTATTTTTTATCTTAAATTTTGAGACTGACGCAAAAAACAAAACCATTTCATGAAACTAGGATATCCAACAGTTATTAAGGTAAATATTAGAATAACAAAAATCTAATATGTGTCGAATAATAAAGTATCAAAATTTCGTACGAAAACTTACTTTTAGCAATTTTTTTGCACACATTAAATACATCTCATAAACTTTTCTCAGGTAGTCAAGTAAATTTGCATCAAATAGTGAATCACAAATGTAATAAATTCACGCTTTTCAAAATTTTTAAAAGGTCATAGATTTCGAGAAATCGGCTTTGTTACAACTCACCTCGGTCTCCCCTACAATTCTTAATAGTGTTACATAAAGTATAAGTTTAAATAATTTCTAACAATGATAAATAATAATTTTGTCATTAATTTAAATAAAAAATAAGATAGTCTGTTTAAATTAATGAAAGAAAATAAGAGAAATATTTTTTTAAAAACTTATTTCAATAAAAGCAATTCTAATAATTATTTACATTTTTATTTATAGGGTAGAGTGGGGTAAAAAAGCCACATTTTTACTTTTGATGCTGTAAAATCTGTATTTAAAATTTTTTTCTCAAATTTCCAATTGTTATTGAAAGTTTAGTTATTAAGCTTGAAAATTCTTGACGAAAATAATTTTTATCTCATGAAAGGACTAAGTTATAAGAGTTTTACGAAAGCACTGCAAGTGGCTTTTTTGCACCACCTGGTGGGGTGAAAAAGCCACCCTACGATTTTAGCAAAACATGTTATCAATTTAGGTATTTTTATAGTTTTCCTTTATTTATATGACAAATAGTCTTATTTGAAAAATATTTTAATAATTATAAAAGAGTTTTTAGCAAGCAAAATTGAAAATTATATTAAGTTTACCTGTTTTCGATTTTCACTGCCAATTTTTCGTACCCTTTTTAGAAGTTCTCTTTAAGTTTTACCACAGATAACATATTTCGTTGCAACCATTTATTCATTGTTTATTTTTTAAATGCACTTTGAACTACTTTTTCGTCGTGTTAAATTTATTTTATTAAATAAACACGAGAAATTTTGTAAAATAAGAAGGTTAGTTTAAATAGAAAACAAGTGAATTTCACAAAATATTCAATGGATTTTTTGCCCTGGCTTTTTTACACCCAAGACCAGTTATTAAAAAAAGCAAAAATAAATTGTTAATTCAGTTCA